TTCTTGATTACAAGCCTTCAGTTAAGCGAGTCGACTTAAGCGGTGAAGGTTAGCATCCGATGGTGAGTGATGAATGCTGCAGGCTAATGATTTTCGGAAGTCTGTTACCGTAATAGGTGCTATATGCCTAAGACAAATATTTGGACCTGACTTGATTTTAGCCTGAATTAAATCAATGATGATATCCTTTAATCTTTTTCACCGGAGGAGAATGAAAAATGGGATTACCTGTGCTACCTGCATCAAAATTACTTGCACTCTTGAGCGATCGTGAACCGCCAACCTTGGATCAAGGAATATAAAACACTTAAAGAAACGGCAGCAGGAACAGCTGAAAATCCTTTTGTGAAAAATCATTGACGCTTCTACAGCATGGCTCTACTTGTGTACATGGGCGGTCAACTGTCACTGCTAGGCATTATGAGTGGGCTTACGGCTTATCCTTGCAAAATAGTTTACGAGGTATTCGGCTGCACATCTCGAGAGCTTTTACTAATATGGAGCAATAAATGTTGCTACATAGTTATATTTATGCAGTAAGTTTCGAAGGAAGCCATATAAAATTGAGTTTTCTTAGTTGCATGCTAGTATATGTCAGCCTACTTCATCGGAATAGCTGTGTTTAATTATACCTTGGTAGATTTCGTTCAAACTGGATGGGTGGGTGGTACAGTATATCATCACTAGACATTGTAAGAGTGATTTAGTCAAAGATGCGAGATCGTCAATTATGAGTCACTTCGCAGACCAAATTTTATCTGGTGATTAAAAGGAAGCTTTTCTTATTACATACTATGATGTCCAATCAAACGTTAATAATCAACGGTCCTTTGTAACTGCTCTAGTTGTCAACGAATCGGACACCCTTTCTAGTGGTACTTAGATTGGTATCATGGCTTAAAATTAGACTCATCTGCACAACTGTTTTGTATTATTGCACACAGTGGTCTTTGAGAACATATGCATTATGTAAAACTTGGTCAACTCAAAAGGAAGTCTGGGCAAAACACGATTCATCTGTTTTTCACACTGTGGTTTAAAAAGTTCAACTGTTTATAAGAGACAACAAGAAACGGTGCGGCTTATACTGACAAGTCACTTCCATTCACTAACTGCTGACTTATTTGTAGAATACTCCATTCTTCACATTTATCACCTTCTTTACATTGCATCGGTAAATGGTTCCTCTTCAATTGTTAGCCTGCAGCATTCATCACTCACCATCGGATGCTAACCTTCACCGCTTAAGTCGACTCGCTTAACTGAAGGCTTGTAATCAAGAATCCGCGTCCCCATATCACGTTCATGCATGGTCCCCAGCTAGCCTTAGCATTCAACATCACACTACGAATTTGACCTCTGAATATATTTCATATTTTGGATGATCAATCTGTTGTTTTGATTTAGCTTTGGTCTACGTGGAATAAATACTGTGGGTGTAGGAACTTGAATTGGCACACACGGTAATTCGTGCAAACGTCAACACTCTCTCGTCATTTCAATACTTTGTTCTTTCTGGGCTAAATTACCACCATTTGAAATCACCTTAGACTCTTTATATAATATCGTCTCGTCTCATCACTCATATTTTATCTCTCCTTGTCAATTTCAAGCATTTTACCACTTGATCAAAGGAAGCATCTATTAGCCAACCAATCAGTCATTTGTACAGGAATGAAATTAAACTGATTATCCCAGTATTCACCACTGTGATAGATTTAATTATTGGTGTGGCTTTATTGAATATCTCAGAGAATTGTAGCGTCTTGACCTGCTGCTGCTATGGTGTTTAACGACAAGTTATCTTTCCGCTGCAAGCTTTTTAAAGGAGATTTAGCAATAAAACTTCTTTTCTGGCGTAAATATTATCATTGGCGTTATATTCTTGAGCTGTGTTAAAATTGCGGCACTTTTGTCATGAAATCTGGCTTGATACTGATATCTGCGATGAGCAATGTAACTAATGGATTAAAGGAGGTAGCGAATTCAAAAATCAGATGCATACTACTACTGACGTTTCAGGAGATAGTGTTAGTACAAGTATAAAACTTGGGAACTGTGGTGGTAAGGTATAATTCCATTATGGATAAGATTTTATTTTGATAAACTGTCACACAGTGTTGGACAGTGATATTAACTGATGACTTAACGAGCACAAGCTATAGCTCATAATCATATCAAGTTACTCACACAACTTTTTTCCTTCATTCATAAACATGTGTGGGATCGATTAGATATTGGATTGAAAATCAATATAGGATAATGCACATTCAGGAATAATAATATGAATGTTATTGATCCATTACAATCAGATGAGAAATAAGACGAGTGTTTTCATAGTCATGATAAGTAACTTGTTAGAATGTTGTGATGTGCTTGAATTACAATAGAATTTTGAGATTATTTATTATCCTCTTCTGATTTTACTGACTGGTGGTAATAATATCTTCCATACACATCTCTGGTATTTGCATTGAGTCATTTCTATTGCATGTGTTGGGTGTAGACTGGATGAACAAGGATTCAGTAATCAACCTGTCTCTCTCTCCACCTACCTAGATTACTTCTTAGAGCCTTAACCCTCTACCACCCTATTGTGTCTTAATGCATGTAGTGGAATTGCTGAGCTTTCTAAATTACTTATCTTCTCATGGTCAACCATTTTTACCTTAGATAAATCCTTATGTTCTGGTAATCTGACTTACTAGTTTGACCTATATAGTTGACCTCACAGTCATTGCACGGTATCTTGTAAATTATATTATTTTATCTAATTGGGTCTACCGACAGTGTCCTTTAACCTACAGAGTTTGTAGGTTTGAATGTCACCCTAATTCCTGCTTTATTAAAAATCCTACGTAGAGTCTCAGATGTCCTCTCCTCGCATAGTGTAACAGTGGATGACATATATTCTCTCTTATTTATGTTATCATTACCAGTGTCTCAGTTATTTTGATTTTGGCCTTTGCTGATCTTCCTAATGAAACACCAACACCTCTTCTATATGTTTTTGTTCACCATTTAGGTCTTTCCTTGTGCTGTTTAGTGCTACTGCTCGGTTTGTTAGACACTTAACTAAGCCTATGTATTGAAATACCCTAAATACCCACCGGATGAAGGTACCATCAAAAAATATCGTCGTCCTTAACACTTGAATGACATACATATCATACTGGTTTATTTACGCACTGAAGATATTTATGCAACACACCAATATATATATATATATATATATATATATATATATATATATATATATATGAGAAATATTTTCATGAGAACCACTACTCCCGTGCACTGATGCATGTCAAACCTAATTCTTCTACCTACAGAACTACTAGTGTAAAAAAGAAAAGACCGACGAGGCTCGAAGGAATGTTTATTAGGACAAACGCATTGTAGGTGCATAAATTTAATTTGGTATACCATCTCTTCAATGCTTTAATTGCACATCATTTGCAAATTGGTCGAATATCACCACATTCGATAGCTTGTTGGATTCTACACGTGTTTCTAACGTTATTCTTACAGTTTTCTTCTTCGATTGCGTTTCCCAGTGTCCAAAACGTATTGTTACTTTTCTGAATTCGTTTATTGATATATTACTTATTTTATCCGATTATAAGTAGTACTCACCACACTAGGACGCTTAGACAAAATGATTTCATTCATCCGAATGTCAGATAAATCTTGACAATTTTCATGAATGATCTCAACATCTACAAATCAGTCTGTCTCAAACCCTTCTGACTAATCAAATGCATCGCTTACAATACAGCAGTAGATCAATCATCAGCCCGAGTTCCCCAGCGGTGGCTGAGGAACTAGTGACTGCAAACACTAGGTGATGCAGTTTCGGACCTTCAAAGGGACATCAGTTACTAGAAGTTGCAGATACACTTCACTGACAAGTAAGTATAAAGCACCACCAAAACCTCAGGAATACTGTTTCAACAGTTTGACCAGGAAAGTCTCTCTCTCCAGAGAATCGAGTAGAACACAAACCCTCTAGTACAAAAGTAGACACACTACCATCGACTACAGAAAACGCATTATTGTTTCAAAACGATACAAACTTCACAGTTAACTAGTATTCATCTGCGACAAAAGACTTCGAAATTGGCTCACGACATTCCTAAACATAAACAAAATAAGAAGACTTTGGATGTATAAGGTTCGTGACCACATCACAGATTGAAAAGAAATCCCCGTCGACGACCCACTGGTTAACGAAGGTGCCACACTTGTTGTTTGTCTTCCTTTGCGTTTCGAGCTTCAGCGTCGAAGTTTCAGTAGCAAAATGCTTTTATCTTCACTCGGTGGAGTTGCTAGCCGCTTCTTCACACTCAAACTTCCCTCTCTTTACTGAAATTAATACTGGCTTCACGAGATAAAGACAATTCCCCAGACCACATGCCTGGTGGTGGTGATGACGATGGTGGTTGGTGAGCGCATTCTACCATTAAGGCAACCACCACCGAGCACTACATTGCGAATAAACACAAGTTATGAATTCATGAGTCTATCACATTCACAACTACTGGTTGCAGAATGATCAACAACCTGACCTCTGAATTATCTTCAAGATCGTGGAGCTCATCTTTGGTCAGGTCATCATCATATTATTTATTACTAGTGAAAAGTCCCAAAAGCCAGTCATCTATGCTTTGTTTTGTAGGCCTTCTAGCGATTCTTTCTAAATGTTGTTAGACTGTGAAGAAATCATCCATGTTGAAATTAACCTGTAATCTGAATAAATGAAAGAACGTGCATGTATCAATGGATCAGAGACTTCTCAACCAACACCGGTTTTCCACTATTCACTATTTCTTATCACTTTGTCTCTCTCTCTCTCTCTTTTAGAAGAGACGAAGTTGAAGCCAAGACTAACAAAAACAACAACAACAATAACGCTTTATTCAAATTTTATAATTGAAATCTAACCAATGAGTATTAGTAATAATAATAATGAATAAATCTGAATTTCGGGTTCCTGTATGTATGTGTGTATGTACAATTATAATCGTTAAAAAACTATGTATATATAACAAATGCATCGTGGAAATAAACGCATACATTTATGTCTGTGTGTCTGTACAAACTGTATATATACATATATATGTAATGTATACATAACAACTGTGAATAAGACAGTAATAGACATACAATGGAGAAAGACGTATGAGTCAATGTGTCAATCAACCAACCAATCAATCACTCAGTTTGCCTGCCCGCCTCTGCCTGACTATCCGCCTGTCCATGATGTGAAATTTTATGTCTTAATAAACTACGTCGTGACTTATAAACCTTATTACAAAGTTTACAAAGGAATATCTTTCCGAGAACAACACCCACACGATTACCGCCGCCGCTGCTGCTGTTCTTCTTGGCATTCTCTTCACGATCACATTCACCTGATCTAGACGTCAACGACGATGATGATGACGTCGTCGTCGTCCGTGGTGCTGTTGAAGCGGATCCAGTAGTAGTTGGGTTATTATTATTATTATTCAACAACGACAACAAATTAGGGTTATTGTTTTTAGATCCAGCTGAAGGAGTAGAAGATGCGACTGTGTTGAAAAATTAACAAACAAACAAAAATTAATCAATTAAATACAGAAGTGTTCCGACTGCAACAACATACTCCTCCTCCTCCTCCATCATTCATGCTCCTCTCAAGATCCACCATCACCGACTGATATCACTTACAGAAAGAACCATTGGAAACCAATCAGGAGTACTGGTACTGGACACAGATGTTTCGTCAGCCTAGTCCAGCCTGGGACTACTCATCAGCAGTATGCACTCCACCGCACTACCACGTTTAGAGCCCAGGACCTACCGGTTACAAGGCAAACTTGTAGACCCAACACACTCAATGGCCAACCACCCATGAATACTGATTTCTACCAATTCGTGATTTTAGCGCGACTGACTGACTGACTAGGCGCACCACATAGCTAATGTCAACGCTAGTCGGGTCGACACCCGGGTAGGCCTCATTGGTCACATGACTTCTCTCATTTGAATTCCACCAGGCAACTAACTAACTAACTAGAGGGCATCAGATTCATTTTCAAGAACTAATTCGGTTTTCATTTACTTATTTCCTTGTGGCTTAGTTAATTAACTAACTCAGTCTAAGTGACTGATGATTTACACACTGGAGTAGTAGTAATAACAGATCACTGCGTGTGTGTCGTATAAAATATTAGGCAAAAAAGGGATGTGAAGCATACAGAGGGAAAGGGTCACATACACTGGGACCCGATCCAATGGCCAGCCAATGAATACTAACTTCTGCGAATTCACAACATAGCGCGACCTGCTGCACCCTACTGCTCACGACTTCTCACTAAAACCCCAGGTAACTACCTACCTGAATAGGTCAAGTCCCTAGTGAGCATCTCATTGATATTCAAGTGTTGGTTTGTCTTGTGGTCACAGTGGCTTAATGGTCTACGAGCAGGTTCGCCTTGTAACCAGAAGGTCCTGGCTTCGAATCCCGGTGGGCGCGTACTGCTAGGACGAAACAGCTGTCCAGTACACCCAGCTGGTTTTCCAATGCTTCTCTAACTAATGTCAGCTCATGATGAAATCCTGTAACTAAACTCTCAATATAGTTGTCGAAAGGAGGAATTAGGCAGACTCATTGATGACTCAGTTCTTGACCACCTTTTATTCATTACATTCAGGCTTCACTTATTTGGGAAGTTACACATCACCTTCAATGGGTTGACCTCAACACAGATACAAAAGGCTTGAGTGTGTGTGTGTGTGAGGTGGAGGTATTCACTGAATTGAAAGACATCTATCGCATAGACGTGATATATCCGATCGACTATCGATCAAAGGATGTGTATACTCTGCGCGTAACACACTTCACTCCATCCCTCCTTTATTGTAGTGAAACATGATCATTGACTGGAGACTATTGCTGACACCTGACTTAATATTGTTCTCAGTAGCACAGATGAATTCCATTCACTCTATCTGGTCTCTCATATCTATAAAAACCCTTTTGTTGTTGTTGTTCCATGTTACTATTCCTTCTCCCCAAATTTTCCACTTATTATGGTACACTTCTAAATCCTTCTTTTTCTTTTCACTCTCCTTTGTGTGCTAAATGGACGAGTGTGCGACTATTTGGACTCCTACCTACAACACTTTTCAGTGCAAATTTGTACACGTTGAAACGTTGTCATCAATGAGTCTATACATCATCAATAAAAGCATCTTTCAAAGTGATACATCAGCTAAAGAGACTACTAAGTCGGTGTCAAAGAGGATACACCATCATCAACTACATCGTCTGTCGTCCACAGTAGAAGTGCATGTTAGTTATCACATAACGTGTTGTTAACCGTCAATTGGGCGAAGAAAGGAAGGAAGCAAGGAAGAGAGTTCAAGCAACTATCTCAAAGCTTGTCACACAGTCGTCGTCAACAGAGTGTTTCAGCTTACAAAATACACATTAATGAAAGAAACACAAAAACAAGAAGAAGAAAAAGAAGAATTCTCACTTCCTTACCATCATTTGTTTCAATCATACGATTCCAATCCAGTTCTGATGTTCCAAGTCCATGCGCAAGGGTCATATGACTCAGACATGAAGACCGAACAGTATATGTTTTATTTCGACACAGGTAGCATCTAGTTGAATGGATTTGAATGAAAAGGAAACGCACACAAAGACGGAAAGTTAGGGCGCGTACAGAATATAACTATATATTTATATATGTACACATATAACTAAACACATAAAATGGAACAGCAAGAGGTTGGGCGTATACCGAAACAGACTTCGTGGTTAATTAAAGACGGTTCATCACACAGAAACCCCTCGAATCACTTCTGAAACTTTCCACTTACGATGACTACACAGCGCTTACTTTACAATAATAAACCGAAAACAAAACATGATGTCATATACTACTGATTGACTGGTATGAGTAGTTGGACACCAAATCGACAAGTAGTGCTTGCTAGCCAGCCAGCCAGATCGAAACAACACAGACGTCGTTTCGCTGGTTTTCGGGCAGAAGCGCTCGATTCAGTTCAGGGAGGCGTCCACCCACATCAGTTCAAATCAACCAAATTCTGGTTAGCTACTTTCTTCGAAAAACTACCAGTGTCGAATTTCGAATTTGCAGATTAATCCGTAACTTCCAATTCGGAAAATAGAATAAATTTGGCCTTATAGTTCACAATACGCTGAGTTCAATAGAATAGGAACACCGATGCTGGGACACAGAAGCGCTGACCGCTTGACTAACGCCAACAACCATTATAGTGTGGTGAGAGCTGGCTGCTAGCCAAAGTTGGTAGACAGAGAACAAAGACCTTGTGTAGGCAGATACAGTTAACATATAGATGATGTGACATTCAAGAAACAGCCACAAAGAGATGCAAGGTTAACTTTCTGTGAGAAACAACCACCAATCAGAAGACTGTGTTTTTCTGATAACAAAAATCTATAATATGTACATGAAAATCTATAAATATGTGTTGATTTCCTTAATAAACGATCTGTTGCCTGGCTGGCCTTGTCTTCTGTTGTTACAATAGTACAGCTGGCTACCTATTTCCCCTACCCCGCTGTATTTAAGCCAAAACACGCAACCCTGCACATCACATGAGGAGCATATTTAGCAGTATCCGGATGAGAAGCCTAAGCGTAAATATGCTGACAGAAACTATCATGTGTATGATCAATGGATAAATATCCACCTGGCCAAGAACGCCAGGTGTAACAGGAAATATCCAGACTGACACCTTCTTTGTACAATCTCATCATACACACATGTGACATGTCTCACTCTATACATCATCATTTGGTCCACTCAACATTGTCTCTTACCTGATGATATCAGCATCGAAAAGATGATGATAGAAGCAAAGCCTACACAACCACACGAACAGAATGTGGAGGTGACAAAGAGACAGAGACAGACAGATGGACAGGAAGATGTAATGAGAACTTTCAGACACACAACCGGAACTTAGTATACACTTACATTATTGAGCAGTGTTAGTCGGTCAGTGAGTTGGTTAGTCACAGTTAGTTGCTCGCAAAAAAGTGCTTACATCTCATCCTGTGGCATAATCACCACCACCAACACCATCACTCAATCAATAATCAACTACTGTTCCTCCAGAATTCATTGTCAACCTCAATTACAATAAACAGACAGTAATGTGAATTGCCTCAAAAATATATAAATACATAAATACACATACATTTGTGATGACAATGATTATCAAACATCATACTGTGTGTGTGTGATAACAAAATAGCTTGTGTAATAATAATAACATAGAATAAATAGCCCCCCACAGAATAATGAATGCATGACTAGTAGAAAGGTGTGTAGAATTATTCAGATTAGTAATGGTAGTAGTAGTAGGGGCAAATAAAGCATTGTGTAGCAACAAAAGCCAAGGTGTGGTGACAACAGTTCTGATGAGACGAAAACAACAACAAGAACAACATTTCAAAGACCAATTGACATTTATTGGATCAAATAAGTAAGACAAGACAAAAGAGAAAAGGCGACAAGTGACATCGTATGTCGGGAAATTCGCAGTTTGCAATTTTTACACACACACACACATTTCAAGTGGAGACCAAGTTATTCCGATCAATATATGTGTGGTGTCTGTCTGATACTATGCATGAATGGTAATCACAGGGGAAGGCGAGAAAACTAGCACACTACTGATTGATTGATTGAGATGAGTAGCTGTATACCATTGAGTCAAACGGGGCAGGGTAGGTAGGTACACCGCCGCTGACGAGTGCGATCTAAAATGAACGAGACAGCTGTCCAATGTTTAGGTCATATCGATCCGGCTGGATGGCTAGTGAGTATTGCTCGGTTCACATGAGTAGTAATGCAACTACCTACTACTACTACTACTACTACTACTGTTACTACTCGTCTCAATCACCAATCAGTAGTTGATAGTTTTATATCGGAGAAATGGCTCAAAGTGTTCTGAGTAATAAAATACCTATCGAAAAATAATAAGAGGTGGAGTGTAAACAACAAATCGATAAAATAGGCAAAGTTAAAATATCACAGCCAAAACTCCAGTGACTTTTAACACCCAATCGATCATCAGAATTCAGATACAAAAACGGTTGCATCGTCGTTTAAAAAAGGCACTAAAAGAAAAAACCCACTGCAAACGTGACATTACACCATACAGTTGTCGTTTATGTGTTGTAAGAATGTCTTTCAGTCGCTGCACAGATGATCTGTGATCTGATCTGATCATACCATACTCGATAGATGCATTCACTCAGGTGAATGAATGTAAGGCGGCCATGATACCTTGAGATCCATTGATCCATTGTGACACTGTTCTTTAACCTACCAACACCTCCTAACCCTGACAATAATCCTAACTCCTTATCCGAACTTTGACCCTAATTCTAACCTCAACTCTACACCATAAACCTCGCTTGCTTTAAAAAGCCATAACCCTAACTAACAGTAGAGATCTGCAGAGAAAGTACCTAGAGAATAAGTAGAATGCTGTGTCTACCCTCTCCAAGTCCAAAAAGCCAAGCATGATTCAATTTGGAATAACCTTTCACAGCAATCACTGCATCTACTCATTGACTGTTGAAGGTGGTCAACTTTTGAAAGACTTTCACTTTTCGGGCTATGCTACTTTAACTTCGCCGATAATTAAGTAGATAAACGCCAATAAGTGTCAACATGCACCTACATATTCTCCTATTTCGCTAGCCAGGCGGACACTTGGTACAGCCAGCCAGCCAGCCAATGTACTCACTCAACTAACTCCACAGCAGGAGCAAATCAACTGGTGTATTATTTTATGCTCATATGTTAATGTGATCACATCAAACTTTTTCAAAAGAGGGATGAGATCAAGACGTTTACACGTAGTAGTAGTAGCAGTAGCTGAAACACTAGCGATCCAAATGAATAAATAAATAAATAAGGCCGAGGTAGAAATAGGGAATGAATATAAACACGCACACACACTTTATCTTATCCCAACTTTTTTCACCTGGTTATTCGCCTGCTATTAATCCCATGAATAGATAGTTTTACACTCCTTTTCTAAGATGTATACACGCACACACAGACATTCCATGAATTATTTTTATTAAAATCTCACCAAATCATTACAATGATAATAGCAGTAATCAGAACAGCACACAGAATAGTGTTCAAGCTGATCTTACCACTTACCACTAGATATTGAAGTAGGAAGACAAAAATCAAAATGGAAAAGCCAGAAAGACTTGACAGTCACGCATATATACGTATATGTAACATCAATTCAATGAGATTTAATTTATTTGAGAACGGTATCATAGACAGAAGGTACACACACATACCCATAAAGTAACATCTAGGAGTCCCACATTTGAAAACTAACAGAAAGAGGGAGGTGGTGGCAAAACGGAAAAACGTCTATACTAGTCATGAAGTTCCGAATTATGTATGCAAGTGAGATGTGACAACCTGATTGCATAGTTTTCATTCGTTTATTTGTAGCTTAATATGCCATGCAATTTATCGAATACAGGCAGTTGATATTGTTTTAGACGTCGTTTTACTCAGTCCGACTTTTGTGTCTCCCTGAGTGCGGGAGATAATTTCAAGACATCAATTGGTTGCATGGTGGTGTGGTGTTTTAGAGGTGTATTCTAGTCAAGTCAGACGAACCTATGAAACATTAGTAACACCCTGCATCATACCATATGGGTTATTGATATCTGCTACCACAGGAATGAATCATTCACACTCATAATTACAAATAATAAATTGAATACGGGAAAAAACCTTTTCAAGGTAAATATTATGTACTCGTCGCCAAATTATCGCTATGTACTGGTCGAGAATTTAATAGTCCTGACGCAAGAAAGACGGAAATCAGAAGACCACTAGGTTTGCGATGATACTTCTATTTTCCAAACACCAGGAGAATCAATGTCACACAAGAGTGTGATAGCAAAATACATATGAATGTCCAGACAAGTGTGTGATCAAATCAATAGACAGTCTTAACATGATTGGGTAATTATAATGGTGTATCGATCCATATATACATAGCAAAATATAGCAGACATGTCAACAAACATACATATTATATGGGTATATATCACCAAGGAGAGACTGTCAACAAACACATATTATATATACTATAAGAGGAATATACATTGTTAAAGGAGACAGGTTCATCAAAGTGAAATTGTCACAAACTAATAGAGCAACAGAAAGAGATAGACAACCATATATATCAGAAATCACGAAGTAACACTGAAAACCAAGGAGAACCACTGGATAGTTTGTTTTGTCCTACGATGAGGACTCTTCGACAAAAAGCACCTATAGTCACATACGGGAGTGAACTTTTGAGCCTTCTACCCATTGGATGCGTGTCGTTGAAGAATTGCAAACTGGGACGAAACAGCTATCCAGTCAATCAGGTTTGAAACAGAGATTGAAAGTCAAGTGCTTCAGTGAGAATAACCCATATCTAGCACAAATACAGCTGATCCACTGGAAGGAAGAGTGATGATGTCAACAATAGATGACTCCCACGACGTTATTTGAATACTAAACTTGAGGTAATCACCATCATTACGTTCCAATCCTAATTCATAAGTCATTTCAAGCGAAGAAAATTAGGTAGTCCGCCTCAATCTCCAGAAACCACATCTGAGTGACTCAATCAAAATCAACTACAATCGTACACACACACACACACGCACATACACATGCTGTCATACATCTTAGTAAAACCTTTAAAGATAACTTCATCGATAATGGAAATTTTATTTGATTCTTGCTTCATGACTCAATGAGTACTTTCTGTCACTTAGAAGGACACATGATAATGAGACAATCTTGGATAGTGATTTAGTCGCCGGACTACTACTAGTAAAGCCTCGATGGGGAGCGGCCACTTTGCATCCTCAGCTGCCATTCACATGTGGAGTGTAGTTTAACAACAACAACAACGACATGTCGGATACCATCTGCCACTTCTTAACTGTTGTTGTCCATTGAAAATTATTTCTTTCATTTCTTGCCTAGCGAGAGCGACATAGAGCTTCAAGCTTCAGACTCAGGAGTTTCTACAGTGATGGAGGGAGGCTGTTAACGTCGCGGCCAACCTCCCACCTTTACCAGACCTAATACCAGCGACTAGTAAACACTAGGAGGCGAGTTAGGTCTAGAACTCCATCGACTGGAGATCAACCTCCTACGGGTGGCTGGCTGGCTGGCAAGCATAGCGTAGCACACTACCAATGACGAAGGACCGATTCAAATTTAGACGAGATGGAAATCCCTTTTTCTCAACACACATAACCCACAATGATACATAATATCGTCAAAAGAAAACAAACATAATAACTAAATCACTCACTTATAAGTTATCAGAGGTACAGACGAATTCGATACAGCTCCACTTGGTATTGTTGGTCTATCAGACACCGACCTGAAATAAGTAAAATTCCAAATTTAGATGTCGTATTCACGAATGGACATTGTTTAGAGAAGAAGTGAAAGGCATGCAGAGAGAGCTGACCCGTCCCTAGTGAGCGTGTCTTTATAGAGTGCACAACCATAACCCCTCCATTGTGGATCGAAACCAGGGCCCTTCGACTGACAAGGCCTGGTCATTAATATAATTCAATCAATAGGTTGGAATTTAATCAGCTGTGAATTCTATTCTCCGTCAAGTTTGCGATGATAAAGTGTTAACGCAATCACCAGTGCCACACAGATGACCATACACATCACGCCCACGACATGGTGAAACCTCACCGGCGACGACATTCCGTTAGACCACCTTCATGACACCAACTCGTTAAGCACTAACAACAAGGGACAGATTCATCATATTCACATTTAAATTAATCTCGAATGAACAGGGATTTCTTGATACTACTTGTAGACATATTCAAGTGGTGGTGAAATATATAACTACTGAGCAATTTAGTCAAATAAAAGTTAATGAGATGGGAAAAACGCACAATTGCAAAGACTAAACACTCATTGTCATGACATTGTCGTCATAATGCCAGCTCCTACAGTAACACTACTCTCACACTTCTGCTTGTAATTCAGCAGTCAGATATTCTTTCTGCTGTGTTATTCTACATGAAAGTTGACAACTAACAAATGGATCATTTCGTATTCGCGGAGAACACTTTTGAAATGCAACAGAATTGTTATGCTATGATTCCTTCAAAAATAATGTGAAAGTTCTATCCAGAGACAGAGCGTTCCCGTTCAGTAAAATTAATCAACGGGGAATTCAAACGGTGACTGTGAGGATGGACAAGCTTCCCCTGTAGGCCGTCATGATCCATGCGTGTTAACCATATTCAACAGTATCTGATTCGTTTACTTACGGTGGTTTAATTTTGTCAGGGATTTCGATGTATTACAACTAATCATACTTGTCTACTTTATTATTCATGGCTGAGGGTTTGTAAATACAATATGGCCTGTACTTGGTCTAATAAAGTATTCATACTAGTCGTCGTTTTTCCCAGACTGGCTTTTCTTTCTATTTCAGTATACCAGATATTTTCAACTATCGTCTTCTCTTCTGGTCAAATTCAACGAACTGACTTTGCCATAAAAGTGGTCCTCTTGGCTCTGTAATCTTCGTGAATACCACCACCACTTATTGAGGTGCATACATATGTGTGCACAGCTGACAAGACGAAAATAGGACAAAACTCATATTCATATTCCGGATTTCTGCAGAACAGTGTAAGGCTAGAGTGGAGCTTGAATGTTGAAGATACTGAACCACATGTTATCAACTAGTCAGACTGCAAGTAGTAGTACTTTGGAACTAAAGTAATTATAATTTATTATATTGATTTACATCATTTCATGCACAGATGATTAGCTGTTTTCGAACTGAAAAAGTCTCCTTATTATTTCAAAGGTGAAGTTTACATTTTATTGATAAGAGAAAATCTTCTGATACTGTTGTGACAGAGTGTTACTAGCCGTACACTAGCGGAGGAACAGTAAAGAATAGACGACACCAAAGTCAAATAATCTTCAATCGACCAATCGGATCGCTCAACATTACAAATGGATGCGGTTCATAGTTACTCTTTGTTGCAAGTTTCACCAAGATTTGCTTTTCGAGTTTTTTGTGGAAAATGCACACGCATATGTGGTTGAGGGATAATGACTCTTCACAAGTACTCCCTGGCGGCTATTACTGATGGCGGTTATACACTCAATGTTATATGAGGAAGTCTGTAGGAGTTGGTAAGTTGTACATTATGCTGATGTTTTTAGATACTTTCTTCTCCAAATCGAAACCCTGCCTTAGCCTTAGTAAAATATCAAGTGTATGACAAAATTGTCTACTGACACGACCAGAATCTGCTGCAGCTGTGGAAACTGAGAATACTAAAATGTCAACAGGGCAGTGGTATCAGCAACACAGTCGGAATATCGCCACACAAAAGATCAATGCGACTACTTCTGTACTTGGAGCAATAGGTGTCGTCGTTCATATTGACCAAACAATCTTTATTACACGAAAAATTGAGTCGCCGCGGTAGGAGAAGAGAAAACCACGTGTTGGGTGCTACAACGGACCGTACGATACAAATCATAGAAAAGGATTGGTAGAATGCATCCCAAACAGAAGTACTGATGTCTTAATACCAATTATACAACGACTAGTCCTCCCAGGAACTAATATTCACACACACACACAAGTGGAGAGACCTTATTCGCAACTACCACATACCTCACTAGGCTAAATTCACCATTAAAGCAATAATTATTCTGAATAAGTAGAACTCATACAAGTTCTATTGAAGGATACTGGGCCCATTTAGAAAAGCATATCAGAATGGTGAATGGTTCCAGAAATGATATTGTATACAACTTTGAGATAATTTCTTCCTTTTATACAGGATAAGGAAAACAGAATACTGATTAGTGGTCGCGCTATATCATGAATTGGAAGAGGTTGGAATTCATGAACTGGCCGTTGGATCGGGTAGGGTCCAGGTGGCTTAATGGTCTATAAGCTCGATAGCCTTATAAATGGAAGGTACTGGGTTCGATCTTCAGTGGGGTGGGTGTGTACTGATGAAGTGTCACAAACTAGGACCGAACAGCCATCTGGAGCAGTACTTCCCCAGCTGGTTTTCCAATGCTTCTCTAACTGATGCCAGCTCATATCACAACTACGTGATATGCCTCCACTGACCTGCTGCTCTTGCGCCCCCCAGTCAATACAAGGAGTAGTAGTAGCAGAATTATTAGTTGAACTATATTCGTCATTATCATCACCTCCAGCACTAACACCACCAACACCTTCAATACTGCGATGACAACTACCTTGTACGCTGTTGTCGTTGCTGCAATCACCTTTGTTTAATGATAGGGATAACCGTTTATGAGATGTACTTCCACAAGATTCTGAAGTTGTTGTTGCCTTCCTCTTTAAAGATTTATTATCAAATATTTTATGTACATATTCAATAGCACTACTACATGAAGGAAGAGGAGCGGAAGCAGCAACAACAACAGAAGTATTCGTAGTAGTAGTAGTAGTAGTAATAGCGGTAGCAGGAGCAGCGGTAGATAACAATGACGACGAGTTGGAAGTCATAGGAATGGTAGTGGTGCTGACGCTGGTCGAAGAGATGGCGTCAGTTGAAATATTAGATGATAAATATGTTTCATTGATATCTTGTATCTGAGTTGAAGAGGAACCCACATCTGAACACTTCTTATCAGCATTATTATCATTATTAGTCATCTTCTCATGTTCAGGTGAACTCACAATAGTAAGCGCAAAATCATAGAAATTTTCACCGGGATCATGACAATCAGAACCTGTTTGTGTTTGACAACAACAACAGAAAAGAAGCAGAACAAAAAGAAGAATAAGAAAATACACTTAACAGTAGTGTATTACAATTTAAGTCAAATAACCCAGAACAAATAATCGTAATTTTCACATACAAAACAACCATATTAGGTAGTTTACAAATTAATTCCTTTACGTTACGAATGGATTATTGGGGGTGGGTGGGGGGCACTTCAAGGTTCAGCTTTGAAGTTTCGTTAGCAGTGGTACTCGTTTTTTTTCTCTACAGGGTGGCTTTGTTCGCCTGATAGACACTAGCGACTGGCCAGATTCAGGTAGGTAGTTACCAAGGTTCAAGTGAGAAGTCAAGATCAGTGGGGTTCCACAAAGTCGAGAATGACGACAGACACTCGCCGGTGACATTGCCTAGTGCCAGTCGTGCTTTACCGCGAACTGGAAGAGGTTGGAATTCACGAACTGGCCATTGGATCAGTTCCGGTCCAAGTGGCTTAATGGTCTACGAGGTGGCTAGCCTTATAAGTAGAAGGTACTGGGTTCGAACTTCAGTGGGGTGGGTGCCTGCTGCTGAAGTGTTACACACTAGGACCGAACAGCTGTCTGAGAGTACTCCCAACTGCTTTTCAGATGGTTCTCTAAATAAAGGCAGACAATGCTAAAATGCGGTAACCAATCGAATCAACCCCCTGCAAACAAAAACACTGGGACGTGATTGGTTGTTCACGGTTATTCGATTGATCGGACGCTTGCTTAGGTTGTTGTAATCTATGTTTGCCTATCTATCAGATGAAATGTCGATTATTATAACTATAAACGGAAGGCCAAACCTTCTAGGTACTTCAAGTAAAACACGTCAATTCTGAACGTTTCATACGAAGACACACATACACCTACCTACCTACCTAACCAATCAAATATCAGGAATATGTGAGCACAGGTTGCTTGCTCTATCTTTTCTAAATACTTCACAGTTAGGTTTTAAATTACCAAGACGGATAGCTGATTCAGTTGCTAGAATGGTTTTTGCACGTTAATTTGAACACAATTACACCTGTAACATATCACTCAAATAACCAGGCTGTATCCCAACGTCTCGTGTTCAGACTGACTGACGCAGAAGTGGAACAGGACTCAACCCCTTCCGATGATAGCCAAGTTTAGCCAACAGGTCAATAATGACTTTTATATTTTACCCTAAACCAATATTTTTATATTTCCCCTACACATATTCATCGTGGATGCAGTTGGTGTTACTGTCATCGACTATGCGAACAATATGATCGTTGTTAATGAGTATTTTTCGCATTGTTTAAAGACAGACATCATCATCTACGAAATCAGTGATTACACACACACACAATTAGTTTATCAGCGTTTAGAACTTGTCAACAAACAGTGAGATAGCTAAATGAATTCATAGGAAGGAGATCAACTTTTGATGTAAATAACAGTTGATTTTCACACACAAACACACATACAACACAACCAAAGTCAGACCAACAAAAAATAACGACATCAGTATTCAATGGGTGATTACTTTTATTGATTATGTTTATTTATTTTATTCCTCGTTCGCGTTCCCAGTGGGACATACGTCTTCAAGTTTGGCCTGTGAAATTTCAGTAGCAATGGTGTCTTTTAGGGGTTGGCGGGGAGGGGATTCCTAGCCTCACGCCACACTTTACCTCTTTGTTGGGATTATAACCTGCTGTGGGAGGTAAAGTTGTGCGCCGACCGGGACTCGAACCCGGACCACATGTATGGCTGGTTACCACTCTACCAGTGGACCACCACCAACTCACTTCAATATGTGATCAGATAAGTTAATAAAATTGTCTTCAACCCGAGCAGTGATCACTTCAACTAACCACACCACACTATCAATCGACCACCAGTGAGACTCATTTATCACACCAGTTCAGTCCAACTAAATTAAATACTGCAGTCGATGGACGAAAGTCTAATGTTTCCGGTGATTGTCGACCAGGATGTCAGTGTTGATTATAAATCAACTCAACTGATCACCACTCATCGAACATTCGAAAAATGCGATTGTCAATCATATCACAAGCATTATTTAATTTATTGTATATTTCATAAAATCAGCACTGTCATTACCATAATAAGACAGAGGTAGGGCAGTCTCATCACTTTCCTGTGTGAGAACTCATCACTGCGTTAGTCCAACAACCTTCTAAATTGATTATTCAGCACTTTTGTTTAATTTTCGTACATGGATGACTAACCGACTGACTGAATGACAAGTGATTAATTGTCAGGTCTGATTTATTGTAAATGTTGCATTGGTGAATAGTACTCGTTGTTTTCAAATGATTATTGAGAGAGAGAGAGAGTGAGTGAGAGTTCATACAATTTCATCTTTTGTCCGAGCAGTGTTCATCATTCAAACAACTACACTAACACTAACTAACACTAATCATCAGTGCAATTGTGTGATTACTGGTCAATTAATTAGTAATCAGGCCAGTTTAGTCTTACTTGATAAAAAAGTCAGTTAATGTGGACGACAGTAAGGTGGAATACAAGCAATTCGAGTGGCTTGCAGAAAACCCTGAATGATAACTAATACCCGTTACCTGTTGCACAAGAGGATGGCACTCGTCGATCAAGTAGGTGATGGTTCAGTGGATGATAACATTTCAGTTTTTGTAACTATGGCTACTGGTTAGAGCCTCAGTGGAGTGGAGGAAAACCATCACTCGCTGAGGAGGGAAGCAGGTACAGCCAGTCGATAAGTCAGTCCCAAATAGGACCAAATGGTGTGTGTGTGTGTGGTGGGGAGGTGGTGGGTTCCACTGCTAGTCATCATCATTCATCAAATTACTTCAAATTCTTAACCAAGTTTGAAAATACGAAATTTGTTAGTAATTATGAACATGTGAATGCCTGAAATCTACTATCCTATGCTTTCATGTCATTAATCCAAGGTTATGGTTAAATGCATAAGATGTTACATGACTGGAAATAATAATCAAGGGGAATCTCTAGACCTACGTGAAAGGAAACACACATATGGTTAACAACACCGGTACTTCTGATGAAAAATAATAACTGTATTCGGGACAATGAATACATCAGTACTAATATGAATGATTTTGTATCATCCCATCGACGGTCTCCAACCACTGACTTTTATCAACGTCAAACGTAAATAGAGGCAGAAGTAGGAATTCTATCGTTCACGTTAGATGACGAACTAACATCAGTTAGACAACTTTTGACATCCAGAGAGCTCAATCCCCAGTGGAGTGGGTCATAAGTGCATACTACTGAACTGTCGAAAACTAGGACGAGACAGCTGCCCTATACACGTCCGTTTCCAGTGACTCTTTCAACTGATATCAGTTTGTGATCTAACTTAAATTTGTATTTCGTTCTGATACCAGGAGATGGTCACAATGATAGCGTATATCATCCATCACATTGAGTAAAGTCTCAATCATCAGTAAATATTGAGTATACCACCTTCTTGTGGTAGTCGAATTATCTTTACCTGGTTGGAGGCTCACAGTTTAACCATCTCCTACACAGCACCATTCTGCACCCTCTTCTCTCTCTCGCTCGCTCGCTATTTTTCTGATATTATTTTAACAAGAAGAAGAGGAAGAAGAAGGCTGGTCTTTTATACACACGGAACAGTACCACCACCAAAATACTAGGCGTGTGCTCTGTCACTGTTTATCAGAATATGCATGTTATGTAATCCCTACTCAACATGCATCAATCTTGCATCATCAATTTCAAATATCTAATCAATTTTCAACTTCCATTTTCGAAAGTCAAAGACTTGGAGAAGCTAGCTAGCTAGCTACTTTTGACCAAAGGATTTCTGTCTTGTCTTACTTCGCTGGTATAATATGATGAGTAATACTGAGGTGGTGGTTTGGCGTACAGAGTGTTAGGTAAGTAGTAGTAGGGTAAATCCAGTCACAATGAAGTCCTAAGGCAGCTCTACATCGAGCTGATTCATAATCTTCCTTGTCAAGCTGACATAGAAGAAATGAATAGTTTGGAAAGAATTACAGGGATGTGAAACCAAAAACCTGACATCAATTCATCAAGTCCATGGGTACGGGTTTCGGTCAGCCACATATATAGCTAGGCAGGTAGGCAGGTAGATGTAAAATGTCTAGTTTAGGTCCATGCCAAGCTAAGAACCAATGCCAACAGAGACTGTTGGTGATATGCTTCAAAATCGTTCCCAATATCGGCGATGCATTCACTCATCGCATACACTAAAAACCCTCATGTTTTTCTAGGTGACACTATCCTCTCTCTCTCTCCCACTCACTCACTCACCCATACATTTCTACTTATTTTAGTTCACATTTGAATGTTTTTGTTTTGCAACTGTTGGTTTGCAGCAATTTGACTGCTTGGAAGATTTCCTCAACAGCTGACGACGATAAAAAACCACTGTCAAACCTGGAAATACTGGAGTGCCGCTTCCTACTTAATTTGACACTTCTCAACGGTATGCACCCACCAAAGTTTGACAAACACTCGCCGATGACATTACATTGCCTAGTGCCAGTTGCGCTATGTCGTGAACTGGAATAGAAGTTGGAATGCATAGGTCAGAAGGTCATGACTTCGAATCCTGGAGGTAAGTGCATGAATGACGTTGAAGAGTCCCAGACTAGGCTCACGAGGAGGCTGTCCGGGGACAGTACTCCCACCTACCTGGCTTACCAATCATTCTCCCACCGATATTACCTCATGATGAAATCCTTCCTGTAATCTCTTTTCCCTTTATCGAGACCCAATTAGTCTTCAGAGAATTATGGGTTACACAGTCGTAGGTGGCATATTTAGTCAAGTCAACAAGCTGATTGATACTCATAAACAACAATAAAGCAAAACAACAAGTGCATATTACTGTCACGCACGTGATCATCAGTACGATGTATGTACATACGTCATCACCATCATTAACAACAACCAAAAGAAAAAAGAATTTATTACCGTTATCGTAATTGTAAGAATATCTTGGTAGTTCACTTTCACTACGGTCTAAATCAATTTCCCTAATGAAGAGCTGCTGCTGGTCGTGATGGTTGTCAACATCATTCACACGAAGATTAGCTTCCGTCAATGGTGATGATGGTGCTGACGACATTGACAACGAAGACATTGAAGGAAATGGACCGTGTTGATGATGACTATTATTCAGGAGATCACGGCGTTGATTCATGCACTGAAAGATGTGATCCCATAAATTAGCCGACATTTTCATTGACTGTGGTACGACAATCTCAGTCGGTGGTGTCGGTGTCGCTGTTGTGGATGTTGATGCTATCTTCTTCGTGGTCATCAAAGAAGATGGAGATAAAGACGACGAAGACGAAGAAGCGATAGTTGGTAAAGATGACACTGATGGACAGGCATTTGGCATCTGTACATTCCCATCATCAGTGCTGATGTCTAACGAAGGCGAATTCTCATCAGGATTGAATGTGTAAATACAACAAATATAGCATAAAGTGCCCTAAAAATAAAATTATTATTTCTTTGTAACAATCAATTCATATCACATAACAAAATTACGATAAGATAATACAAGTATACAGTGCAAAATATCAACATTCAATCGCCAATATTTACGCCAGATGCAGTTTTCCAACAATAGTTCCCTGTTCAATTCTTTGAACCATCAACGGTATTGTGTAATGCCGGACGACAATATCAACTGCATTGCACACCTGGTCAAAAGGCTAGGCATTAACAATTAATTCTGGTGATGGCATATATTTAACTTAGATTTTAAGACACTCCATGACCAGAAAGTGGGCGGAATCAGAGGGCTACGTGTGTATGTGTGTGAGCGCCTTAAACATGAGATCGAATAAGCGAGACAAGCGACCTTATCACTACCTATTCTATTTGAAACAATCATGTTGCTCTGTTATCAAACCGACATTTCAGCTAACGAAGATATCTCTGTCCAAAATAATGATACTGTGGTGGTGTGATACAGACAATGTGTTCCAACCGTATATGATTCTCACATATTCCCACAGTTCAATACTACATTAGTAACAGAATACTATATGTGTATTTGAACGTTCTATTTCATGTTGTTTAATGTAAACCAAAATCACACGCCCACTGATTGCTTAAAGAATATAAACTGTATAGATATATACAGAGTGAGGTTTAATCAATTCAAAGTATACGTTCGCTTCCATGTCTTGCCTTCTGCTGTTACAACACTGTCAAAGCAAATAAATTTCATCATAAAAGTCTTTGTACTTCCCAATGAATGAATGAATGAATAAACGAATGAAAACGAGCAAAAGGATATTGTTGTTTTTACTGACGTTTCACTATTTAATGATGCTGCTAATGGTCTGTCTGTCTGTATTCGACATCGAACTTCACACATATGTGCGGCAGTTCAAGTCGCCACACTTCTCCTCCTTGTAGCACACAAAGCAAGAGAAGAAAGTAGAAGAAATTCATAATGGAGACAGTAAACAGAGGTGTGAGACAGAGGAATTGTAATAACGAAGAACAATATAGTTTCATTGGAAATCATAAGTCACAAGGAGTGGATGCATCTGCGCTAACCATCACTGAGAACGAACAATTGTTTCCAACCATTGGTGTTAACCGTCCCGAGGACCCCAAACAGTCAGGAAGTCTACACCTACATCTTCCTACGTGACTGACTTAAACTAACTCTTGTGGATTTCATTGACTGATGAAGGCATATTTTCTTCTGACCGCCTCTGACTCTTTTCCAGCCTTAACCTGTATCAGCTAACATTGTCCGTCGGTCGAGGAAGGTGATGACTAGAGATACGTAACACATGTCCTAACCATCTCAGTCGATGTAATTTCACAGTCTCGTCGATTGATTTCCCCTTCCACCAACCTAGCACTCGACGCCTAACCTCAATATTGGTGGTAGTGGAGCCAGGTCAAATCCTGCCGCCTTATTCCACCATTCCCATTCCAGACAATTTGGATCCCATTTCACATGAAGTGCTTCTGATGATATGAGAAGTTCTTTGTAATTTCTGAAATTCTTCTGAATTACTTAATTCTTCAATAGAGTCGAAATAAACTTTTTTTAGCCTGATTTGTAAATTTTCGTGTAATAATACTTTGATACAGGCGCTATTAGCAGCAGCATTAAATAGCCAGACATCACTAAAAACAACAATATCTCCTTTTGTTCTTTTTCGTCCATCCATTCATACATTCACTGGGACTTTTATAATAATGATTATCATATACTAACTGACTAGTGACGAAGATTTTTCAAACTATTAGAAGGAAAATTAGATTTGTGGATGGTGACTAGCAGTGGAATCCAGGATGCGCATTCCGTCCTATTTGGGACTCGTCAGCTGGGAAATCTAAATTTCAATTTTATTAGAAGTGAATTTCACATTCATTTGCATATTAGATATATCCGATAGTGAACGGATGAAAAGGTTTCAAACGCAATTTATTCATTGTTCATAATCAGATCGCCAGTTATAATCACAGAAATTCAAGGCTTTCGCTTTATAGTCTTCTTTATGCTTTCCTATTCGTCGTCGTCGTAAGGGTAGTCGAATTTTCCAGATGTCCGACTGGACATGTGCTGAATCATTCCCATTACACGTATTTTCAGTCGATTCGATGAGCAAAGCTTCAGTCATCAATCTCTCTCTCTCTCTCTCTTGCTGTCTGTCCTCCCCACCCAGTTGCATTAGATTTTACAAGTCAGGATGGGAATCTTCCACGGTTGGATTCTACCACATAAAAGAAACAAGATGGGAAGTTAAACACAACTGTGTACAGGAAACCCATATTCATAAAAGGTTATTTCTTCGGTAGAAATTGTTAATCATACTTAACCTCCCAATTCACAATTACCATGTATATATATATATATATATATATATATATATATTGATATGACCCCGAATACGCTTGTAGTTACCCTAACGATTCGCAAGCCTATTGCTCTAACTAATACTAGCAACAACAACAACAACACGACACAATACCACCGAAAGTGAGACGCAAGATGATAAAGGGAGACAGACACCTGGCACAGAGAGCTCCTACTATCTCCTATCAACAGCAAAAACGATTGTCAGCCCTCGTATATGCGTCTATGTACAGATGTTTAATCATATGCATGCTCTAAATGGCCTTGACACACACTAATCAATTACACTGGTGCGTCGGTGGCACAGTGGTTAGGACTCTCGCCGACCATGCACATGGTCCGAGGTTCGATTCCTTGCCGACGCACACCCGATATCTATGGTCGGCCTGCGAAATTTGGGATACCGATATCCATGCTGAAAATTCCATACTTGTACCAAAAAATACGGTGTGGAATCAAGCTGTAATCAAAAATAAAAAAAATTAAAGAAGCCAACAACCAATAGGATTTCAACAGCATAATTGGAGGGAGAGAAATACAACCAGACACACTCACATTACATTAGCTTTACAGCTCGCACGGATCACAGACACAAAATAAAAGGCATCAAAATTCAATTACTCTGTTCTTAAATAAAATAAAAGTAGGCACTCAATAATGACCAATCATATTTAAATAGGTCTAGTAGTCCAACGTAGGCAAAGTAAGGTGTCAAGTCTATTGTTTTCACTGTACACAGAGTGCAGGAAGCATGCGTCTAAGTCCAAAGTACTCTGCCATCCCCTTAAATAACCTTGAATTAGAGTCATGTGATTGAATAATTGTGAAGCAGTCATTAGTAATGATTTCGTGACCTGACATGAATATGTGCTTTGCAATGGATGATGATGATGGTGGATTTCTATTCAGATTAATAATTGCATTGCGATTTTTCAGATGTCTTAAGAACCATTTTGTTGAGTAACATGTCAAGTGGACAGTCTTCTCTAATTTATTTAATTCAATTTCACATTTTCCCGTCGATTGATTGGACCGAACTGCTCGGTCTCACGTTGACGCTTTGGCGTTTGAAACTATGGGCACCGGGTTTGGAGCCTCGGTGGGAACACCATCAATGACTCACTGAGGAATCCAGGTACATCCAGCTAGTTGACGAGTCCCTAATAGGACGAAATGCGCATCCTGCTAGACTCCACTGCTAGTCACTATCCATCAATTAATTTTCTCTAATCATTCGCATAAATATATTGGCTGACAGAAGAAGGCCCGAGAGGACGCTTAGTGCTATGACGATATGTTTTGCCGTTAAACTGAAACTGCACGTTTATCGTACACCACGTAGTAATCGTAATACTACACAAACAGTCACCTGTGTATCTCCTACTTCACCAGATATATAAATGTATAGCCTGTTGTAAATACTTATAGAGTGTAACGTGAACACCAAGTCTTCAACAGACTAAGAAGTATTGATTTGACATTGGTGTTAAAATCCGGATCTTGTTATTGTAACTAAACACTGTGGATCTCTTCACAGTGTTTTCAAAGTGATGTGAATATACCGGTTGGCTAATTTGAATTAAACATCGACTAACTAACTAACTAACCAACCAACTAACTGACACTTTATTATCGATTGATGCTACTTAACTTCAGAGAAAAGTATCTCTAAATCAGAGATAGACAGACAACTCTGTAAACTAAAAAATCAATTATTATTACAAGGTAAAAGACACGACACACGAACAAACGAACACAAAAAGAAGCCAACACCTACCCAATGCTCTGAAAATGCATGCTGTGTTAAGGCCCAACGAGTACACAGCACTGTGGAACAAATAGGACATGTAAAGGTTAAGCTTCCTTTAGTTGCTTCTAAAAGGTGGGCGTCAAATTGTGGAGAAACACCAAATCGTAGCTACATTAAATTTTTTACGATGAAACAGAATAGAAGAGAAAGAAAGAAAAGATGAAGTGGGTTTACAGGGAATCACTGAAAAACAAAACAATCGTCTGAGTGCTACACATTAACCTGCGAACAGAACAAATAGAGTACTTAGGTCACGAGCTGACACATCACTCAGAGAACTATTAGAAAACCATAGAGTATTGAGGACAGCTGTTTCATCCCAGCCCAACCTACAACCTCATTTCTTGGTGTACCCCGCTGGTCACAATTCCCCATATATCACGAATCAACAGAAATTGGAATTCATAGACCGTTGAATTAGGTCCCATCACTGGCTGAATGAACTACAAGATCACCTTGTAAGCAGGAACTCCTGGGTACTAACCCCGATGGGCGTGTACTGATCAAGAGTCACACTCTAGGATTAAAACCCGCTGTTCACCTCAGAGTAAGTAAGTCAGGATGTACAATTAATGGAGTAGACGTTTTCTAACCTCCTAATTAACCAGAGTTGGGTGGCAACATAACCCAACTGAGAGAAACATCTTCCTGCTGTTACGATCCACTATTCGCCAGCAAAACAAAATCCACCTTCACACCCTCTCAAACACTGCATAAGACACCTACACAATCATGGAAACTACTTCAAGTTTGACCGTGCTGCTGTGCAAACAATCTTCCTTACACGTTAAGATGTATGCAAGAACACTCCTTCCAACCAAGCCAACACAGCTCGTTGAGTCATTTCGATATGTGGAAGACCGTCGATACCGCCATGTCTGAGGAAACAACATGATCAGATAACATAATTCACAAGACACTATTTATAAATAAAACACCTAATAAAATCCTTAAGGATAAAGAAAAATAATGAAGGTATATTGCGTAAAGCCAAAGTGCAATCTTTGAACATTGAGGTAAAGCAAAGGTTGTGAAAGAAAACAGGTGAGGGAAACATTCTTTTATTGGACACTGGGTAGTAACACTAATCTCATACATTTAGCGCTTGGTGTTAATGCTGACTGACTGAATTCTATCAGTCGAGTTCGCAATGTGGCCATCACCACACCTTGAAACTACGTTTCGTGCTTGTCGACCCCAGGTGAAACGAGGAGCATCATCTGTAGTGGTGAACGAATTCATATACCATCTCAGATTCAAATCGATCGCCATTCGCCTCCAACCATCACCTCATATCACCAATTCACAGTTCAACGTCATCATGGCCACATTGCAAACTTGATTGACTTGATGCAATTCAGTCTGCATAAAACGAAAGAATCGGCTCATGATACTGGTTACTACTTCATGGTCCAATAAAAGTACCCACTACGCCGAATACCTCAGTGATAACACCTCTCAGTGTCCCACTTGAGTGTCCCGGCTCCAATGCTCGAAAGCGAAATGACTACCATCAAGATTAAAGAGACGCCATGTTGACTAGTGAATGCCAACAAGCACGAAACCTACCCACGTACCTACCTACCTACGTTAGGCATGGCTTCCTGAGCCGATTACCTTCAACTATCCAACAACAACAATGAAAAATTCTACTTATTATTTTTTGTTTTATAATCCGCCTACTATTAGCCATATCGGTGTATGGCGTGATGCTTTTGTTCTTATCACTGATAAAATCAATGAATTAACGACTGGGTGTAAGTGAGTGCAAGGTGTCGATTTGCAAGAGAAATATCGTCTGTATTGCCTTTCTGAATAGTTTAGTGCATCATTTTCTCTACCGTTAATTAGACTGTTCATTCCAAAGTATTTCTACAACTAATTGATTGAAAGTGATTTTGAGGGCTTTTCTTCTTTATACTTTTTCGCTTCGATTCACTCTCTCTCTTTTTGTATGTACACTTACCCATGGATCGTGTACTATTCCACATATTACTATTATTATTATTATTACTATTATTATTATTATTATTATTAACAACAATACATCTGTATACGTATCTGTGTTCACTTGGTCATACGAGGTGAGAATATCTTCTCTGTCTATTTTAGAACATTAGTCTACTCAAAGTGAACACACATACACCACCTATAAAATAATAATGACGATGATCACAGTGTGTAATACCAAATATAACGTGAGCACACATTTGTATGTATGTATGAGTGTGTGTATGGATGGATGGACACACGGATGCAGCATCGCTGTTTCTCGTCCTGTGAATAAGGACACAACAGCATGGCATGATTTTCACTAATTAGGTCAAATAGTAAGCAGACACTATACACACACTATGCACAAACATACATACATACATAGAAGTGTGACATACATTGTGTACCTTATTCCTGTTAAAATGAGATGTTCACCACAGCCAACCGACCAACCGATCGACTAACTAGTCACACAATTTCAAACGATAGCAGTCTCTCTCTAGATCGACATGAAAATGACGCCACATACATACACTACATAAGAACTGTCATTTTTTTGAATGAGAGAATGGAAGGCACAGGTGAAAAAGATATGTCAGTAAAAACGATGATTAGCGAATTCAACGATAGCAAGGTCGGATTCCTCAAGAACAGAGGAAGAAGGATCTGTACCGATGACATCCTAGACAATGAATTAGTGTACACTTCTGAATTGTGCTGGTCCAAAAGGATTCATTTTAGTAGATTTGCAAGGAGGCACATGAGTAGTGAGTACAACAAAGAGAAACTGACCACACTTAAAAAAAGAAACAATTGTTCCCTTGGCTGAAATTCAATGAGAACCTGGCTAGTGAAGTCCTCCGTGTAAGATTATCGACAGCCATAAAGAAAGAGATATACTGCTGCCACGCTTTGCTTGTCATTTCCAACTACCTAGATGTGCTCTTCCAGATGCAGCCTACCCTACCGATCCCAACTAGCTTTGAGATTCTCGTTCATTCTGTCTATAGTAGAGTTGAAGCGATGCTGCGCTCAGATATGATACATAGACGACAACCATCCGTTCCCATATAGGATTCCCAGTACATATATATCACAGGATATATACCAGGAAGGAAACTCTGAAATATGAGTAGAACAACAAATCACTCAGTGTTTCAGTGATATCTTAAAATAGATATAAGCTGATGCCTCTTATATATTTCTACAAGACTGATTATTAGTGAAGAAAGAATATTTAGTCCGACAACTTCTTCAGGTTCCACAATACACCGTATACATCCATAATAGTTAACGAATGGTCGTCATTGACAACACACCAACGGTTTTTAAACAACACTGAGTCACTATCATCAAAATTCCGCCTAATAGTCTATTCAAATAGATTGTCAATGGAGAACAGTTGAAAACATGCATAAATAATTTACTAAGTTGAATGTCCGATGTCCAAGTAAATGATCGTGATTACTAATCAATATATAGTAGACAATGCTCATATCATCAATATGATCTGGATGCTCAATTCGTCGCATTTACGAAATACATAATAGAGACAGTAAACAGAGGTGTGAGACAAAGGAATAGTAATAACGAAGAACAATATAGTTTCATCGGAAATCATAAGTCACAAGGAGCGGATGCATCTGCACCAGTCAGCCATTGAGAACGATTTTGAGCCATATCACCAATTGTTTCCAGCCTTCATTGGTTTTTACCATCCCGAGGACCCCAACCAGGAAGTCCACATCTTCCTACGTGACTTGAACTAACTGTTGTGGATTTCATTAACTGGCGCCATGTTTTGGTTTGACCGCCTCTAGCTCTTCTCCAGTCTGACCCTATGTCAGCTAACATTGCCCATCGTCGAGGAAGGTGATGACTAGGCATGCCCCAGTGACCGGTGGTGTCCGCACTGGCACCCACTCGCCCACTCATGAAATCCGCATCCTGGTGGATTCCACTGCTATTCTGTCACAACCATCCATCAAAATTACTTCAAATTAAATAATCAACAGACATCGTCGAAACGTGTGGTACTAGGTACTAGGAGCCAACCTGTTCACCTGCTAGGTACATAGAACGTGCGTTGAAAAACATATCCCGCCGCCTTATTCCACACCGCCTCCAAGCTTGATTTAACGAAGTGGAGATAGTACAAGCATTCTTTAATCTTTTTTTGATGTGGTTTTGCTCTCTGAGCTGGATGGTTAGTTTGCGAAGCTTTCGTCACCTTACTGGGTGACATCTTCGGCGCATACTTCAATTTGAAGTGAGCTTTCAGATTTCTCCACGAGTTTATTAATCATCTCTCCTGGTGACCTTGGACGTGATTGGTTGTTTGTGTGTTTTCACACCTTCTAGGTTACTTGTATTGGAACCGGTTGTTTCTTTGACTTGAACTTTGACCCTTTGTGTGTGAAGTTTCTTTCTTATCGGTTGATAAATTTTGTCTATCTCGATGTGTCTATTGATTGATGATCCACTGGAATGCCAAGCTTCTAAAAATTCTCTAGCATTCTTGTTATTTCCTTTGTCTAATATTTGAACGCTGTCCCAGTCGAATTGATGTCCGTAGTTGTCTGTGTGTAGTGAAATGAGGGAGTGGATATCATGTCTTTTGACGGCTAGCTTATGTTCGTGGATACGAAGACGAAGGGGAGGTCCACTTTGGCCGATGTAGTGTTTTTCGCAGTTGTTACAGTTTATTTTGTAGATGATGTTGGTTTTGTCTTCTTTCGCTGTTTAGTCTTTCGGTTGACATAGAATTGAGTGCAGCGACTTTGTTTGTTTGTGTACGACGTCAATTCCTAAAGGTTTGAAGAGTCTTGTAGTGATTTCTGAGATATCTTTTATTTATGGTAAAGCTATTTTCTTTGTGCTTTCCTTGGTGGCTTTTGCTTTGGTAGGTTGGCTTGGGCGTATATGTCTCTTGAAAGTGGGAAGACTTCGCCAAAAGGCAAGGATCCACCAGAGAACAATTATTCTTTCTCCATGAGTGCCTTCGTCAGTCAATCCTACCAAACAGTGTAAGATACAAACCACCAGTCAACTGCCCAATGGGATGGAAATTGGCCGAACAATGTGGAAGACGAATGGTCAAATTAATGATTACAGACGCACATTATCGGATCAACAAATATCAACAAATTATAGATATCCAAAAAGCAAAATTAGAGAAAACCCTCAACCAGGAACACCTGTCAACGCTGATCACCGCAATTACACTGTCAAGTGAAAAACACAGAGAACAAAGACGAAGAGTCCTCAAAACCAAGCTAGCCAAGATTAGAAAACAACAACCAGACAATACGCCCATAGACTGCGTAGTCAACCTATCAAAACAACCACTATCAAAAATGGAACAACAACTACTACAAAAAGGATTAAACTACAACACCGGAGATGCTTCAAAAACTGATTTCTTCGCTGCCCTTGAATCATTACTCAAATCATCAAACTTGAACGAGGAAACACAGGAAGAGATACGCCAAACAATTGTACCAATGGTCAAACAGAAAAGACAACACACACAACTCAACGCTCAAGAACTAAAGGCCCTCAAAAAGCTGAAAAATAGGAAGGACATCGTCATTTTACCAGCCGACAAAGGAAGAACAACAGTAGTCATGGACAGAGAAGAATATACCAAGAAAGCTGAAGAACTACTCAAAGATGAAGATGTATATCAACAACTCCCAACAAATCCCATACAAACATTGGATAACCGCATCCAAAGGACCTTAAACAAGCTCACCAAAACTGGACAGATCACAAAACAAGACCAATGGCGAATGAAATCCAATGGACCAGTCCTACCCGATTCTACGGCAGACCCAAAATACACAAGGCAAATATCCCATTACGACCAATTGTATCACTCCCAGGAACTCCAACATATAATTTATCCAAGAATTATACAGAAAACTAAAACACCTAACGGAATCTTGCGATCACTCCATCAACTCTGCTATCCAATTCCTAGAGAAAATCAGAGGCATCCAAATAGATGAACAAGAAATAATGGTATCATTCGACGTGACAGCATTATATACATCCATCGGACAAAACCTAGCAAAAGAAACCATGGAGCAATTACTTAGCAACGACGAACAACTGCCACAACAATCAAAAATGCAACACACAAGCTGGATGGAATGCATAAATCTATGCCTAACAACATACTTCCAATTCAACGGCCAAATATATGAACAAGTCAAAGGAACACCCATGGGATCGCCAATATCAGGTTTGATTGCAGAAGCAGTGATGCAAAGACTCGAAAATATAATTCTACCAAAGATCAAACCCAAGATTTGGATACGCTACGTCGACGACACATTTGTAATCATCAAAAGAAACGAATTAGATAAAACTCACAACTTAATAAACAACGTCTTCAACGACATCAAATTCACAAGAGAAGAGGAATCCGAGAACAAAATACCATTTTTGGACGTCTTAGTCAGGCGAACAACTACAGGAGAATTAGAAACTCAAGTTTATAGGAAATCAACTCACACAGACCAAATACTGAATTACAACAGCAACAACCCAATAACACACAAAGGAATTGCATACAAACACTATTCAAGAGAGCAAGGACTCACTGCAGCACTCCCACCTTAAGAAAAATTGAAGAAAAGTATCTCATGGACGTCTTCCAAAAGAATGGATATCCACGGAATTTCATCAAGAGACATATACCCCCAAGCCAACCTACCAAAGCAAAAGCCACCAAGGAAACACAAAGAAAATGCCTTACCATAAATAAAAGATATCTCAGAAATCACTACAAGACTCTTCAAACCTTTAGGAATTGACGTCGTACACAAACCAACAAAGTCGCTGCACTCAATTCTATGTCAACCAAAAGACTCAACAGCGAAAGAAGACAAAACCAACATCATCTACAAAATAAACTGTAACAACTGCGAAAAACACTACATCGGCCAAAGTGGACGTCCCCTTCGTCTTCGTATCCACGAACATAAGCTAGCCGTCAAAAGACATGATATCCACTCCCTCATTTCACTACACACAGACAACTACGGACATCAATTCGACTGGGACAACGTTCAAATATTAGACAAAGGAAATAACAAGAATGCTAGAGAATTTTTAGAAGCTTGGCATTCCAGTGGATCATCAATCAATAGACACATCGAGATAGACAAAATTTATCAACCAATAAGAAAGAAACTTCACACACAAAGGGTCAAAGTTCAAGTCAAAGAAACAACCGGTTCCAATACAAGTAACCTAGAAGGTGTGAAAACACACAAACAACCAATCACGTCCAAGGTCACCAGGAGAGATGATTAATAAACTCGTGGAGAAATCTAAAAGCTCACTTCAAATTGAAGTATGCGCTGAAGATGTCACCCAGTAAGGTGATGAAAGCTTCGCAAACTAACCATCCAGCTCAGAGAACAAAACCACATCAAAATCATCCACCTGAGCTACAAATCTTCTCTATCATATTATTTAATCTATATTGGTAACACAGAGTAGATATTGGCCACACAGCATTTGATGCATCATCCATTCGTATAATCTACAAAATCCGACAAAGTTTACACAAAGGGATACAATTCCATTTCAGCTGCTTTGCATAACAAAAGCTTTGACAATCACAATAGCATAAGGTCAGAACTTTGTGTACACTGTGAACGATTGTAAAGATGATTGTAGAGAGATCGTGAACAAACTACGCGATGACATCACATCTCGCGATTTTCTTGGGTTGTTGTTGTTGTTGGTGCCTTAACGGGATTACCTAATACGATTATCGCGTTGCTTGAAGATTTTGCACAAGTGGTTAATACCCACCCATCCTGCAATAAAAACACCCTCCGAAAATACTGTATTGTGCGTAGACACACACACACACACATACACACATATTTCAGAATAAAGCTATTATCATCTTTATTAAAACGGAGAGAAATATCTGAATATTCATCAAAAAACAAAACAAATAAAGAGGTTAACGACAAATCACGCAGGCACGCACACACACACACTCACAAACAAAACGTAGAACAACAAGACTGGTGATGTCCATTAAGCACGAAATCTAACTTACATGTCGATAAACTTCTATACAACAGGGAATGTGATCATTAGGTTTCGGGAATAGAAATTCCTCTGATGAATACTGTCGATTATTTGAAGATGACGATGATGAATTCGGATGTTGACGCTTCAATCGACGTAGTTGTATAGGATCTGGCAGAACAATACACGATGACTTGTACTTGTCTGCATGTATCAAGTGTGTTCCAGAATGCGGTAAAATAGCCAGTGGAGAATCAAGTAAGGCTAATCCACATACACAATGTGGTAGAGCTACACACGAAGGTGAAGACGAAAATGACAAGAGAAGCAATTTAAAAAAAAGGAATAATCAATTGAAGCACACTGCAGCATTGACAAACAGATTACTGTAACCCCGGGACTAAGGGTATGAAGATCTTGTTGTAGTGGGACACCTTGATTTTTATTTCACTTTCGCCAAAAAGACTAACTCTTCTCTGAACGTCTATTTTTTCTATACGACTGAATGGGGATTTACAACCTTCACAATCGTCACCATCACCATCATCATCCCTAACATATACTCTATCTCTTACCAATCAGAGACTCTCAGATGATCTGACCATTGAAAAACCGATTAAATAAGGCAGTGTATTCGCATACAGAACTAATGCAAGTGTGAATGGCATTGACACTACTACCAAAAGAGACAAATATGTCCTATTCCTTAACAAGTATATCGGAGTATCCTGACCGATAGCTGAAGCCTTCAAGTGGTGATCAGGCTTGCGCATATGTCGCAATGATCCACCCGACGGATCACGCTGGTTTGGCGAAGTCGTGCTGCTATCGAGTAGAGATGTAACACGAGAAAGGAGTTTATCTCAGATGACCAGCAAGTCACCAATGTTACCTTACCTTTCCACTCTGGGTAAGCAAGAGGCTAGAAAAGATCGTCCCAGAAAACTGGAAATCCCGACTTACCTTACGGCGGTCCATATACACCGGTAGGTTTTTAACACGAACACAATCCTAAAAACACAAATTCAAACAGGTCATATATGACCACCAGTCTAAAACTGCTGTCCCCATGGCTCTGAGGTTACACAACATTAATGCTTCTACTTTTTCAGGTATTCCAAGCAAAAATCAACTTTCACGGTGTGGGTAGTCGGGAAGTGACAACCACCCATACACTTCCTCCTAGAGCACACAACGATCACAAGTCATATGCGTTGACATATGGAATAACACATACTGTCAAACAAAAGTTATTATGAAAGTGAACAGTTCGTATACACACACAGCATCCTACGAAACTAAATCTCCCGTAAGGAAATTTAAACAAGATGTCATAACTGTCCATTTACGTCAATTTGTATTTCCCGGTGTAGACTGGTCAATTACTTTGGAAGTAGGACGAAACAGCTTCCCGGTGATCGAAGTGATCCACACACACATTGGACGTCCGTTTCATCAGTCTAGGGTTCGAGTTCTTCATTGACCACTGTAAGCGGTTAGATTCAGTTAACAAAGCCGAATCACCTCAAAAACCAAACAAATTCTGGCTAGCTACTTAAGACGACGCTGATGATACATAGAATCGAATTCGCACTTGACCAATTCATTAAATAGACACATAGTAGAAGTAGTGACCATTCACTCCCATGACTTTCCTTTGGAATATCAAAAGAATCACATTTCCTTGATTACTAAGATGTCTGAAGGGAGTTTCAAAGAAACCAATTCTAATTCCACGATTATTTCTAAAGCAAACTGTGAAGAATTTGTCGATTGTGCCATTCTTCATTCCAAAATGAATTATCAATAAATAGTGTGTTTTTGAATAATTTACCTTTAGCATTTTCATTCCACTGACGTGTTCGTGCAAGACACCAAGAAACCATACTAGAAGAAATTAAGAAACAGGAAAAACAACACACGGTAAGGTTGGTTAACAACACGTTAAGCACAATAAAATGGAAGGCTATGACGTACGATATAAGTAGTGTAGAAGACACTAGGTCAAGTGGCAGGAACCTCCAATAGAATGCCAGAGGTACTTGGATAAATTCCCAGGTATTCCATCGACTCACCTTGTCGTGTGTGTCGGTGGTTCAGTACTAGAATACTCGTCGACCACCAATACGGTCCGGGATTCGATGATTCCCAGCCGACGTAATCCTAGGACTGGCTTAACCGGAAGTAAGCCCGGTAAAAAGCGGGAAGGTTGGGTGTGAGGCTAGCAACCCCACATCGTGAAAAACAAGCAGCACTGCTCCCGAAACTCGAAAGCTCAAGCTTGAAAAGCCCAAAGTTCCACTCAGATGCTAAAGTCTAAACTCCAGTTGTATTTAGTTCTCCACACGCCTGATAGTGAAAACAGTAATCAATAACAAAATGAAAGAACCAAGGAGCATTGGACAACCATTCTTCCTTGTTTGGCACAATGCAACAGTACAAATCCATGTCCTCACCGAGGATAGGACCCACGACCTTCAGCCCACACAAGGCTAGCTCAATGTTTAAATCAATCAAATCCCTAAAATCTACACTTGAAATTCAATTGAGTGCTCACTGATGACTCACTACAGAATGAAGTTGACCGAAGTTCTACTTCAGGAGGTCATGACCAGAGTGTTCCACCGAGTCGTGTGAGGACAACTGCTCACTGATGATATTGACTGGCGACTGCGCCATAAATCGCGAATGGTTCGAGTTCAATTTATGGACAACTGGGTTTTGTCCCAATGGTTGAGTGGTGTAGGAGATCGCCTTGTAACCAGAACGTTCCGGGTTCAACTCCCGGCGGCGACATAGGTGTGTAAGCTTATGGTACACAAACAACAACAACCACAACAACAAAACAACTGTACAACACACCCTGGTTTTTCAAAGATGCTCTAACTGCTGTCAAATCATGATGAATCTCTAAAAATCAGTCAAATCCCTGCAGAGAAGCACGTGAAAAATCAGTAAAGTTGATGACACTCTTAGTCTGAAGAATAGTGAACAACAACAATATCGACTCATGTAGACAATTGGTAGAATCAATAAATATATGCAGCGCGAGTGAAAAATGAAAAACTAGAATGTCTTCCTTTCAGAGAAAAGAACATGACCACTGACTGAAAGGATACTTCGTAGGTCTGTGTACTCTTCGACTATTATAACTACCCCAAGAAATAGTGTAGGATTGTAACGACAGAAGACAAGGACCAGGCAACAACTCGTTTATTGGGAAAATCAAGAGGTATATATAGATTTTTATGTACATTAATGTCAGTGGAGAAGCAACCTCTTCTGATTCGTTGTTTTCTTGCTGAAGATTATTCTGTTATCTATATGTGGCCGTTTCTCAGAAAATCAAGCCATATATCTGCGTATCATATTTCCACACGTTAACTCCACTGTGATTGGCTAGTGATTTTATCAAGGCTAAGCTTAGTTATTGCTTTCCTCATGACCCTGATTCGGAACGTGAACAATGACGTAAATTTTTGTCTACAATTTTGGCTTGCAACCAACTCTCACCACAGGATCATCACGTGGTAACTGGAGAACAATACAACCATCTCAATCATTCTTCCAACTCATTTGTCGAGTAGAAAACCGGCTACAGCTGCAACTTTAACACTCTCTGCATTCAACACTTCATCTTCTTTAGAACAAGCTTTCATGTGGCAGATTCTCCTACCTACACAAAGAGTAGATTTCACTCATTCTTCGAGCTGTAATTGATGGAGCAAAATGACTTCACGGAACTTTTCTCTGTATTTATACAGAGAGAGAGAGAGGATTCTTTCCATTCCTCTGAGATAAAAGAAACTGGAGTGGAATTCCTTACACTTTGACTGATCATATTTACCGATTTTGCACAAATTGTATCTCTTCACAGATAGAACTCTCGATGCATCATGGGAATCCAGATTCTCTATTCTGTTTGATTTTTAACTTCAATTTGCATGGTTTTATTTGAAGGCGAACTGTTCAAATAATGCCTCAATTAGTGATAAATGGTTGTGTACTTCTGTGGCTGACTGACTGACTGACTGACTCCACAGAACAATGAATAATCTGAGTATGCAGATGGCATAGGAAGGGATGGGATGGCAAGATGATTGAAAAGATAACTTATTAGTGAGCATCTCGATGAGAGTGCTTCTGGTGCTGTTGCAATAGTAATCAGACTTGCTCAGAACTGAAGGATATGATTAAACTACCCATGGGAAATTAATATGAATAGGTATAACACAGGATAATTCTAACTCTAACAGGCTATCCACTCATTATCCAAACGATGCTTAGAAATGAGATCGCGATGAAATTTTCACCTCAATGTGTCGCAACGCGTTCATACTGGTGCTGTCAATAACCACAGGGGTTATGCGATACAACGGATCGTATGCCTTCAAAGTCACTGATGCGTTCACACTCCACGGTCGCTATTCTTTACATTCCACGATACCGTCTCTTGAACATCAATGCGAACATTGTTTCCTCCAGGACAACTGTCAATAAGCACGAAACTAGATTTCATACAGCTTCCTGAAATTTAGTGCAGACCACTGAACTATACAACTCTATATGATTACCTAAACACACAATAAAATAGCCCAATGAATAGGTGGATAACGCCTTCATCATATTTAAAACGATCACTGGTTGGTTATTATACGTCGAAGTGAAGGGTAGCATGAATCATTCAATAATACATCTCAGTCTTCTACCCAGTTAGATTACCATTCAACTTTTGGGGACAGATTACCTATGGATTGTCTAGTTGCTTAGGTTAAAGTAGATGGAACACGAGTCGAAGCCAGGACCTACCGACTGACAGTCAATTTACTCAATTACCTCCACTCAGTGAGCTGTAATCAAATTACACACCGTGAAAACATAATGGATCTTTTCAAGTTTAACCACGGATTGAAATCATTTGGAGAACCGGTGAAAACCAGAGAGCACTGAACCAGCCGTTTCCTCCTACATCGGGAGTCATCGACAGCACACACCCACCGGGTTTCCAATCCAGCACCTTACAGTAACTAGCCAACCACTGAGACTCCACTCAATGGGCCATGACATTGGCTAGCAGTCAGTCGTACTAGAATTCATAGGATGGCGTTTAAATCGGGTCCGAGTGGCTGACTGATCTCCGAGTTTGACTTGTAACTACTGGAAGGTCATGCGTTCCAGCTCTGACTCTGGTCGCGAACTGTCGATGAGTCACAAACTGGGCTGACGAAACAGCTGTCCAATAACCAGAACTCCCAGCTGGTTTACATTTACCCAATGCTTCTCTAACTGATATCAATCAATCCATCCATCCATCCAATCAAATGCTTCCCCCCTCTACAAACCAACTCTTCATCATGGATTCTGTTTTGTTAAATTAAAAAATAAGCAAATAAAAATAACTTACTAGTGTTCATGAACATGTGATAATAAGTGTTCATAAGTCACATTAGCATTATCTTTTTTAGAAAATGTCAATTGCTTGTGACACCAAGGACAAGCAATCAGTTTACGACTGTCGAAAAAGTGAGAATCTCTTTCATGATTGTGTAAATCTATCAGATCTGTAAAGTATCGAGCAGTGAATGGAGTTGTTTCACAGTTACTAGGAGATTCTTGTAGTTGATGTTGTTGTTGTTGCAGTAGCTGTTGAGAACAGTCGGAACTAGAACCATTGTCTGCTATTGGTTCTTGATTTTGAAGTACTAGATTGATTTCGTTGTTTCCACCTTGTGTCACTGAGCAAAAAGAACAAACAAACAAAGTAGTACAACAGTACAGTAGTGATACACACACCACTAACAGTTATGGAGATTTAGCTTTTTATTAAATTAACCTTAACAATGATAAAATAAAATAAAACAACTGTGCATGCATTCCATTTCAAATAAAAGCTTTCCACGCTCATGTACGTATATAAACCAATTAATCAGAGAATTCCTGAGTACGCAGAAGACAGACTAGACAAGTGTGTTGCCTTTCATCACTTTGAAACTGTTTTTGGCATCTATGATTCTACGAAGCATTTATGAGGATTTGATTAGTCGGGGAGATGACAATGCACCTGTACCGTTGACAACATTTTCAACTGACACAATGACCGATAGACAGCTACTAGTTGGCTTTTCAATCGTTGGTTTGCAGCGATTTCATTGGCCATCAACTGATACCGATTAGACAACCATTAGAAAATCAACTGGAAGTACTGCCAGACAGCTGTTTCGTCAGCCTAGTTTGGGACTCGTCGGTAGTAAATACACACCACCAGGCCAAGGTTCAAACACAGGACCTTTCAGTGAGTACAAGGCGAGCTCGCAAACCATTTAGCCACTGAGACCCAACCTGACCCAATGGCTAGTCAATGAATACCAGCTTCACGATATAGTGCAACCACTAGTCAATGTCATCGCTGGCAAGTATTTGTCTCATGCTCACTGGCGACTGACTCGATTCAGGTAGGTAGTTATCTGAATTCTAATGGAAAGTCATCAGTGGAGTGCACAGAATGTCAGAATGTATGAGAACAAATACTCGTAAATGACATTCGTTAGTGGTCGAACTCCGGCGGGGGCGTACACCTGAAGAGTCCCAAACTAGGTCGAAACGGTTGTCCGTACAGTACTCCCAGGTTTCCCGATGGTTCTCTAACCGATAATTAGATAGCTGTTGGCATTCCGAGGACCACAACCAAGCAGTCTACATCTCCTTACGTGTCTCAACACACAAACAGTGAAAGATTTTATTGGTTTTGTTTCTGACTATCTCCTGGCACTGACAGTCAAATAAAAATGTAACTAGCCATGGGGTAACGTATGTCGAAGTCATCTCGGTATCTTGAAGATGCCTTCTCACGAAATCCATGAAGCCTAAACCTCTAAAACCGCCTACACTTTCTGCTTCTGAAATACCTCTCTACCTGAATTCATACAACTGAATAGAGTATCATCGACAGAAACACTGAGAAATCACCTGTCCCACCCACTGAAGGAAACCTTCGAGGCTAAACTTCGTCTAACTTTCCTCCAAAAACAATAATTCGCATGAACCCGAAGGATAACCTACCACTGCTGACTGGCTCCATCAATATATATCTGTCAATTCACCCACTTATTTCGAAATAGGCACGTCGGTCGTACTAAGTGTTTCCAATCCAAACGCATAATCAAACACTTACCCTCATGATCGCCCCGCAGCTCTATCCTCAAACACCTGATCAAATCTGAACAGCAAGCTAACCCGCCGGAACAAGGAACTTCACAGTGATCTAAGAGGATATATACGGTAATCTTGCCTCATGCCCAATCTTCTCCCTTACCAGCCAGTCTTAATATTGGCTTAGCGAGCGAGGTAAACGAGTTCGTCGGTGGCCGGGGATCGAATCCCGAAACACCTGCGTGGTTGGCAAGCATTCTACCACTGTGCCACCGACGCACACTACAATCATATATATATCTATACATGCGACTGTACACAACTTGAGAATGATATCGGTGAAAAAAGTAACTCTTTGTTGAATGTTTCCCCACCCTCCACTTTTCTATGACTCAATGAGGCGGATTTCCAAGTTGCTGCTTAAACTTCGGAAAGCTTAAAGCTCTCACATGTTCCACCAGTCGGAAAAGGCAAAGGAATAAAAACCAGACATGAGAGGAGGGAGGACGGCAGAAAATACTCCCTCATACACACACATATATATACCTTCGTCTGATACATTTGATTCTGCAGGCAGCAATAATGAATCAGATGTCATCTGTGCATGTGGATGATCCATACACAAGGAATAAGAAGTTGAAGTCATAGTAGTAGTAGTAGTTGTTCTTGTTGTCGTTGCTGTTGTTGTTATTATCTCTGTAGACGAAGGATGAATACCACCACCAGTCACCGCTGTATTTCTCCTTGGTCCAATACCACAGTATGCACAGAAGCATAATTTTCGATCAAATATTACTGATGCATTATTATTCATCCCATAACTGGAAGCACACGAAGCAGACGAAGAAGATGCATTATTCTCACATGATGAGTAGGTTCTGGCAGACTGTTGCTGTTGTGCTTGTTGTTGTTGGTTGTCATCTGTATGCTCTGGGTCCAATAAATTAAGTATATCCTTATTACTATGATTATTATTATTGTCATTATTATCATTACTATAAGTATAGGAATATCCAAATGTTGACCGAAAAATTGTTTGTGCATGCTGACAAACTGATAAATGTTCTCGAAAAATATCAATATTGGGAAAAAGACGTTTACACGAACCAAAACATCGATAATAGTTTTCCTGAATACAAGCTGATCGATGTTCAGCCTAGATTGTTGAGAAGGAAGAAGAAAAGAAAACAAAAACAGAGAATGGGGAGAGAAAGAAGAAGTTATGAATACTGTTCACTCACACATTACTAATACAATAATCAGCTTCAAGAGGCAGAAAGTCGATTCGCGTGTGAACTCAATGAATGAATAATTTACACACTTTTTGTAGATTATTCCCCCTCCCCCAAAAACAAAATATGGCATACAAACCTTTTATAGTTTGGATTTATTACACATACTGATTTCTGTTATGATCTCTATATCACCACCACCAGTTGAAATCAGCTCGTCGGGATTCTCCTCTACATACATACATACACCTGTCGCCAATCGATAAGAGTGAGTAAGACTTATACATGGCTATAATAGTCCTGACGGAATGGACAACTCAAACGATACATATACTACTAAATACGCCTATTCCCGTTTGTGCTACTACCTTCGCTTCACTGAGCCAGGTAAATATCGAAAGATAAAGACTGGTCTGTGAATGGTAGAGGATACAATTTTCTATTAGGGAAAAAGGCACGTTATATTTATGTATATATTTAACCATATTGAAATCTGCCTAGCCCACTGGAAATAGACTCTTCTAATTGGTAGACGATTTGGCTAGGGCCGTAAAATATGAACATTCTGATTGGTCGACTATTGAACTACAGTGTCAAGGTAAAAAAGATGATAACATTTTACAGTTATCCGATCTCACACGATGAATAATCATAAGGTTGATCACTACTTTAAGCCGATTTCTATCAATTTCTTTATTAGCTTCCCTTCAAAGTTTCGCGTAGCACCCCCCTCAATCCACCCGTTCACTGCCTTTCCTCCACACTGGTATCAGGGTCATGTCATTATGGTAACTGTCATCCACGGATTTTGACAAGAAACGAATTCACGTTTATATCCATGTGTATGTGGATGTCAACCGCTCAAGAATCCTTCCCATAGAGTCAGTGTGTGTGTGTGTGTGGTCACTAGTCTCACTAGAGAATTTTGAATGAAATGTACAAAACAACAATTCATTTATAAGTCTATACTGTGACCAGAAGGTCCTGGGTTCGACCCCTGGCAGTGGGTGTTTACTACCGACGAGTCCCAAACTAGGCTGACTAAACAACTGTCCAGTACTCCCAGCTGGTTTTCCAATGGTTCCCTAACCGATGCAGGCTTATGATGAAGTCCTCCAACCAATTAAACAAAAAAACCCACAAACCAATACTTGAAAATTGTTCTGTTATATATTTCAATGATCAACTGTCCAACAATCATTGATTTTCGCCTAATAACTGAAAGACTACATTCATGTACGCTGTAGCTAACTGTGCTGCTGCTCAATATCCGAAATCGCTTTATTGCGTATCCCCTCTATAATTTTAGCGTCATCACCTCACCTGGGTGGGCGTCATTGTTTCAACCCAGTGGTACTATAAATGGTGATAACAAACAAAGCCACGGTTATACATTGGGGAGAGCAAGACAGTCGATCACTACTCTGAAATCACTGTGCATATGAAAGTAATCAGGAAAAACCTCACACTTTTATAACACTAGTGTGTCAGGTCCATGCGCCTCCACGTACTTCAGGGAATTGGCACGCGCACGTTATCAAAACCAATCCCATCAAATAGGCCACAGACACTTTCGTCAACACATGTCTTCTCCGCTGGGTTAGATAGACAGACAAACTGGATAACTACTGGCCAGAAGGAATAAACAACGAGGAACTCTGTCATGCACAAGACCAGTCAAGCATTTATTACGTAACAAATATGCATAAACACATATACATATTTATATATACTGCATATAATGAAATGAAACGATAACCAACACACACACACACATACACGTACACAGAGACACATTACAATATAAAAGTATTCACCACTTACACTGAAGTGTCGGAAATACTCCTCTCTTGTATCAAGAACTCTCAAACACTCTATGCACTGATATCTTGTGGAGTAATCTGCATTCTCACTCATCACACTGGAATTATAATTACCATTTCCATGGACCACCGGTGGCCCATTCATGTTTACTAATGAGGGTGGCAATAACACCGTCTGAGATTCACTTAAAATCCAGAAATTGGATGAACAGTAGAAGTCGAAGAATTCATAGCACCAGGTGGCGTATTAGCACCATGAATAACTTTCATATGATTTGTTAATTCTTCAAATGAAGATGTTTCAATGGTGAAACTTGTACTCTGCTGCTGCTGCTGCTGACTATTATCGATACTTATACCAACAATAGATTGTAATTGTTTCTGATGTTGTACACAAAGTAGACATGAATGAATTCGACTTGTATGACATTCAAAATAATGTTGGCATAAATTTTCAAACGCCTTATAGCCTTTTTTGTTACCAACACTTTCATGACAATAACAACATTGAAAAATTTCTCTCAAATTAAAATGATAGCATACAAAGCGAAGATGTGCACGTAAGCATAATTCGGAACAATCAGGCGATAAATATGCTGGAGGCTTGAGGAAAATCGAAAGAAGAGGAGAAAGTAATATGCGGAAAATCTTCTCTTTTCTTTTAAGTACACAAAGTTAAATCAATTTATGTTAATATATACATACAGATATATCGTCTGTTTCTCCACCTATCTCTCACAGAGTATTATTGCATAACGATGACATTAGCTGGTGCCTGACTGTCGCGCCAAAATCAAGAATTCGTGGAAGTTAGAATTCATGGGTTGGCCATTATTGAGACACAAACTAACTAACTAGGCTGACGAAACAACTGGCTGTCCAGTACCAGTACTCCTTGGTGGTTTCCAAAGGTTCTCTCTCTCTCTCTCTCACTTTGTCTCTGACTGAAATCAATCCATGGGCGAACTTTGAAAACAAGCGAAATCCATACAAACCAACTCTTGCAAAAAGACATAACAATATATCCCATTGTATACAAATTATATATTTTAGTTCAATTCTCATTGAACTTTGATCAAAACAAGGCAATGTGTAATAGGGAGAAGTGGTTTGTACTCAGACATGACACATGTTTTTGGTTAGATTGGGTTGAAGTCAACAGCAGGGATAATCTCACTCACAGAAGATATGGACTTCGTCAGGTAATATCCTTTTATGACTATCTATCTTCATTCATGCAACGCCATTGGCCACACACATGCGTGCATATATCATTGTTTTCCTTGGCACGCGCTTGCGCTTAAACTTATACAGATACCGATACAGTTCAATACATATATGCAGATGTGGCACATTGGCTTAAGCACTCAACTTACAGTTAATCAGCCCCCAGGTTCGAGTCCTGCGCCCCACCTACTTCAGTCTGGACAACTAACTGGGTAATACCACTAGCCCCTACACAATGAGAATGGCTTATAGCCTAGTACTACTGGGTAGTTGAGATATAACTACTACAACCACTACTGTAGAAGATATACTCTCCACATCTCATATCGTTGTGTTCTGGCTTAAGTAAAACAGGCTGGAGGGAAACAGATAACTGTCGTATAGAGTGTTGTTAGCGTAATCAAGCTGTATTCAGGGTCAGCGCGTGCGCCTAAGTCAAGCACATTGGTGTCTATATATATATCCTACGCTTCTGTCAGCTGAGTTTCATAATCCTCGGATGTTTTCGATTGAAGCTCTCTTTGAAATCTCGTTTGGCTACCTATGATACCCTACTGAGTGAGCTTAATATTATTTGCTGGCTTAAATTCATGAATTTTATCAAGGAGAGATTCAATCGAAAACATCCAAGGATTATGAAACTCAGCCGACAAAAGCGTTTGTGAAAGAGAAGCTAATTGAAGAATTCCCAGAAGCACCCGAACACTACGTTTGTAATCTATCAAGATTACAATTAAACAAAATCGAATTAGAAGCCTTATCTCTAGGATTCAAGTTTCACGTCCCCAGGAAGCATATCAATCGTATAGATACAGAAGCACAAAGAAAATACCCTCTGAGTTGAATAATTGGAAGAGTCCGCCTAGGAGCGTAGAAAAAATTCAAAAAGTACAAAAACAGATGACAGTTAAAATATTTATTTCCCAATACGAATGTAAAACAAGCAATAAAGTTTAATAAACCAGGATTTAATGAATTCATCAAATTTCGGTAGAACTCGTCAGCTGAATACTCTACATACGCGGATATATATACACTTCCAATTACATTGGGAGAGAGAGGAGTGATAAGTAAACAAACTACATTGAATTTTTCATGCCGAGAAAGGAGTTCTACCGAAATTTGATGAATTCATTAATTCCTGCTTTATTAACCTTTATTGCTTGTTTTAAATTCGTATCGGGAAATAAATGTTTTCAATTCTTTAAGAAGCGTCTCCCAAAAAGCACTATCAATGCACTAAATTATCTAGTGAAATTGAAGTGTAGGATTGCTAAACACTCTGCACGACGAGACTTTTTGAAGGAATGTATCCAGAATAATATTTATCCTCGAACATTTTACAAATCCTTGCGTAAAGATCATTTGAGACCTACACGTGCAAATCTTTACCGTCTTGCTGAATGACATTTGTGTTCTGAAACAGATGAAATCAGTAATTTATGCCTATTGTCAAGCAAACTGATCAGTGTACAAAATGAATTAAACTTTGTATGTTATATTAAATTCACTAAATATCTGCATGCCACATCTAAAAAGACAAAAGAATCAGAAGAAAAGAAACTGAAGAAGTCACTTCATCCGGAACCGCCAAATGAAATTTTCCCAGTGGATATATCTAATTATGTTCATAATTTATCTGATATTTCCCTATCAAAAGAACAAGCAGAAATTCTGTCATTGGGATTCAAATTCTGTGTTCCCATGAAAAAGATAAAGCAAATTGATATCGAATGTCAATTCGAAAATCTCTATGATCAACTTATGGGGCTACATGCCACGTCCAGTGACAGCGAAAGCTGGTTGAAAGCAAAGATGGTTGATATTGCTCATCAATTTCGAGTCATGCCAAACAATGAAAAGTCGCATATCACCAAAGAACACTGGAGATCTTTAAACAAGCTCCGAAAAGACAAAAATCTTGTTATATTACAAGCTGATAAAGGACAAAGTGTAGTGCTAATGAACAAGATAGATTATCTAGAAAAAATGAATCAAATTCTCTCTGATGAATCTAAATTCAAATTGGATAACTATGCAAAAGACCAAACGTTATCAACCGAAAGGAAAATTGTGCAGCATCTACGACAACTCCTCAAAAATAAATACATTGACGAAAATACATATAGAAATATCAAATCGATTGGGTCACAAATCCCAAAACTATACGGACGCCTAAAAATATACAAACCAGGAGCGCCGTTAAGACCTATACTCTCTGTGATAAACTCACCATACTACAGATTAGCACAGTGGCTATGTGAACTGTTGCAGCCGTTGTTGAAACGCTTCGGGACACATACAGTCTCTGATTCATTTCAATTTGTCAATCAAATTAAAGATTTCAATGTATCCGATAAGCATTTGGTCTCTTTCGATGTTACCTCCCTTTTTTCACAAATGTGCCAGTCGTTGAAACTATCGACTTCATATGTAAAGAAGCTGAAGACATACCCATTCCAACGTCGGAATTGAGGAAATTACTACTTTTATGCACTAAAAATGTCCTATTTCAATTAAACGGGCGTCTGTCCCGTCAAGTTGATGGTGTCGCAATGGGAAGCCCTTTGGGACCCCTTTTCGCAGACTTATTCTTGTCACGCCTAGAAACCAGCACTTTGCAGCAATATATACAAGAAACAAATGTATACCTAAGAAATGTTGATGACATTTTTATTGTCTGTGAAAGCAGATCAAAAGCGGAAGACATGTTGATAAAATTCAATTCATGCCATCCAAATCTCAATTTCACAGTAGAACACGACGAAAACGATATTATTAAATTTCTAGACATTCTTCTAGCCAAAATGAATGATGGCACAATCGAAAGATCTATATTGAGAAAATCTTCATGGACAAGACAGTACATGCATTTCAAGAGCTTTGTTCCAATCCAGTACAAAAAGAACCTAATCAGAACACTGATCAAAAGAGCACGGAAAATTTTACCTGAAAGTAGTATTGAACAAGAAATCAAATCTCTGAAGGATATTTTATGTAACATTATATATCCTGAAAAGTTCATTAATAAATAATCTCTCTGTCTCTCTTCAGCTGCAGACTACATGAAATTACAATGATATATAAAAGATAATAACATACTATAATGTTTGAGCGGCAGTAGAGACAGTGTTAACTCTAATATAACTATCAATCTCAGCTGTGAAACATGTACTATGAGGCGGCTGCTAACTATTATTATTACTTATACCAACAATAAATTGTAATTGTTTCTGATGTTGTGCACAAAGTAGACATGAATGAATTCGACTTGTATGACATTCAAAATAATGTTGGCATAAATTTTCAAACGCCTTATAGCCTTTTTGTTACCAACACTTTCATGACAATAACAAAATTTCTCTCAAATTAAAATGATAGCATACAAAACGAAGATGTGCACGTAAGCATAATTCGGAACAATCAGGCGATAAATATGCTGGAGGCTTGAGGAAAATCGAAAGAAGAGGAGAAAGTAATATGCGGAAAATCTTCTCTTTTCTTTTAAGTACACAAAGTTAAATCAATTTATGTAAATATATACATACAGATATATCGTCTGTTTCTCCACCTATCTCTCACAGAGTATTATTGCATAACGATGACATTAGCTGGTGCCTGACTGTCGCGCCAAAATCAAGAATTCGTGGAAGTTAGAATTCATGGGTTGGCCATTATTGAGACACAAACTAACTAACTAGACTGACGAAACAACTGGCTGTCCGGTACCAGTACTCCTTGGTGGTTTCCAAAAGTTCACTCACCCTTACTCTCTCTCTCTCTCTCTCTCACTTTGTCTCTGACTGAAATCAATCCATGGGCGAACTTTGAAAACAAGCGAAATCCATACAAACCAACTCTTGCAAAAAGACATAACAATATATCCCATTGTATACAAATTATATATTTTAGTACAATTCTCATTGAACTTTGATCAAAACAAGGCAATGTGTAATAGGGAGAAGTGGTTTGTACTCAGACATGACACATGTTTTTGGTTAGATTGGGTTGAAGTCAACAGCAGGGATAATCTCACTCACAGAAGATATGGACTTCGTCAGGTAATATCTTTTTATGACTATCTATCTTCATTCATGCAACGCCATTGGCCACACACATGCGTGCATATATCATTGTTTTCCTTGGCACGCGCT